CTATCTACTCTCACAGCCATCAAGATCACCCTTGCACTGATGGTCCTGAAGTTCCCTGGAGCCCAGGTGCCTTGGGGTCCCCTCAGTCCTGCTTGGCCCAACCAAAGCTGCCTCCCACCAGCCTTCTGGGCTCTTCTTTCCCTTACCTCCTCTCCATGCCAACAATTGGTCCCAAGGCTCCCTGTGTCTGAGGGGGGCCCAGGCCCTTTGCTGTCCTGGGGTTCTGCCCAACCCAGGGCCAGAACCACACAGACAAGAGTGAGTGACTGCTTGGCAGGAGGTAGCCCTGCCCCCAGCCTGGCTGGCCCTCACCTCTCCCCAAGGCCTGCAGCCCATTCTCCACCAAAGGTGGAGTGGAGCTCCAGACTTCCCCAGGGGTCAGCACTGCTTTGTTTACATCAGCAGTAGCTTGGGTGGGCATCACAGTGGCCTACCTGAGCTAGTCCTGCCTATGTCCTCTCACCATGCCTTTTGTTCCACAGGGCTTGGGCACAGGTCACAGGGCTTGTGACCCCAGGAGCTGACACACCTTGTCCTTTGATTTCTCTTTCTCTACTAAAGTTTGCCTCACCTCAACCATCTACCTGAAACCTCTCATGTCCACATTCCAGCCCTATGGAATCGAGGTGTGGAGCGCCTCAAACCAAAGCGGGCAGCAGTCATGTCCCTCCTGCCCTCACCTCAAAGGTTCTCGCCCTCAGCATTGGCTAGGGCAGGTTCAAGGGCTCCAGGATAGGGGTCAGGCCACAAGGAAACAAGGGGACCTATGGGGTAGACAACCTTTGTGTCAGGCTCATGCCCCAGCCCCAGGGAGGGGTGAAGCCCTGCCCAAGTGTCCAGGAGGAACCACTGCCCCTTCCTGTGAATCAGCACTGAGAGCTTAGAGGCCGAGGGCACAGGGAAGCAGAGAGTCACAGGCTCTGGTGGGTGTCAGTGGGTGTGTTGGTGTTTCCCTCTGAGCAAGGCCAGCGCTGTGTGTCCCTTCCCAGACACTGGCCCTCTCTCACTGGAGCTTCACCTCTGTGTCCCCAGTCCCCAGCCAGCCCCATCCAGCCTGGTGTTCCTGTTCATAGAGCATTCTCTGGCTCTCAGAGGACAGGGACAATTTGTACAAGTCCTGCCACACCATGGACGTGGGTGATAGACATTGCCCTTAGTAACTCATCTGACCTCCTATACCTCTGTCCCCATCTGTGAAGTGGAGGTGACAACAGACATTCCCAAGGTGCTCCAGGCTGAGAGTATAACTCCCCATCTGGGGACCTGGTAGGGAACATGGCCAAGTATCTGTGTCTATGCTGCTCAGACAGAGGTCCAAGAAACAGGTGGTAGGCTGCCTGCCACCCCCTTCATTCCTCAGCTCACCTCCTTCCCCCTGGCAGATGGAGAAGTGGCCCCAGCAGGCCTGACACTGGTATTTCCTAAACCTGAGGGGAAGTGGCTTGCTCAAGCCCACATAGGTCTATGCCTAGGCAGAGCCCCACCCCTACTTCCTGTTCCAGATCCCTATGCTGTTGGGGCAACAACAAGACCTAGAGGTCAGAGGTCACCAGCTATGGGGGATGGGGGTTGTGGGGGGGAGCGGTTCTATGGCAAGAGAGGCCTATGGCCAAAAGTCAAAGACTCAAATTGTGGGTGGCCTGGACCAGGTGTCTTTGGGCAGCTCTGGTGCTGCCTCCAGCTCCAGGACACTGTCCTAGGAGAGTGTCCAGCTGCCAGATCAGACTGCCCACTCAGTGGTCAGTAAGCGGCCACCAGGTCAGCCTGTGTTCTGGGACCCCAGAGTCCTGGCCTACCTCTAGCCTTCTGGCCTACCTCTTACCCTTCTTGTATTTTACCCCAGAACCGAGGCACCTCTACTCTGAGATGTGCTGACATCGGCACAGAGATGGTAGCATTGACAACAGATTCTCTAAGAGCAGGAGAGTTGACCTCTGTCCAGACCTGCCCAACTTGGGTGGTGCATAGTGTGGTCAGGTCCCAGCTGGAGCACTCACGGCACAAGAGTGTCCCCAAGCCTGAGGTGCTCTGTGTCTGCTTCTGTTGCACAGACCACTGCAGAGTGGCCATCGGAGGCCAGCACAGGCTCAGGCAAAGCGGTCTGTAGTGGGCTACATGCTAACTCCCCCAAAGACAGGCTCAAGGTCTGATGGCCTGCACCTCAAATGTGGCCTTACTTGGAAAGAGGGTCACTGAAGCTGTAATTAGTTAAGATTAGATCACACTGACATGGATGCATCCAGATCCAATGTGACTGCCATCCTGAGCAGAGCAGTATGTGAAGAGAGTAGAGAGAACCTCCTGACTGCCATGTCTGTACTCAAGGATGCCAAGGATGGCTGCTACCATCAGCAGCTGGGGGCCAGAAGGAGGATCCTCTCCTAGAGCCTCTGGAGTGTGTGGCCCTGGCCAGCACCTTGGTTTCACTAGAATGGTGAGAGGTAACTTTAACGTTCCTTCTTACTACAACCTGCCCGTCTTTTGCCCATGAGCTCCACCTGCACTGTCCTCCAGGGACTGAGGTAAATGTTTCTCTCCTGGCTAGAAGCGCCAGCCTGGGGAGGAAGGTGTGTGGGTGTGAGAGGGCTCAGGGAAGGGCCTTCTTCAGATGAGGGTGACAAAAGCTCCAGTACATCATCTGCTCCGAAGAAAATGCTGAAGGATTAGGGCATGGCCATCCTGAAGGCTGCAGGGTATAGTAATATGAGCAAGCACCTCAGGTGGTGTTGGAAAGAATCTTGGGATGCAGGGGTATCTTGTGGGAGATAGAGCCTTATGCTTAGCCTCTGGGGAGTACCCTAGCTGAGTGGTACTGGGATTAGCAGGCAGGCTGCGGAACACCACCACAGCTTCAGAACCTGGCTAGCCCCTTTGTCCCTCAGGTACGGGGCATGTGGCTTGGATACAAGAATGACTATAGTCACCATGATGCCTAGGTTACCCAGCCACAGTTCCAAGCATGTTTACCTATGTGGTGTTTCAGCTCTGGCTGCCTAACTAAATGCCAAGGGCTGGGACTTAACAGACAGTTCTTTCTCTCTTTCTCGCCCTTCTGGAGCTGGACATCTGATGTCAGTCTACCAGCATGGGCGGGTTTCTCCTGAGGCTTCTCCTCGGCCTGCAGACAGCCTCTTCTGTGTCCTCCCGAGGCCTTTCAGTGTGTGCTTCTTGGGTCTCTTCTTGTAGCTCTGGCTGGCCTGGAACTCACTAATGGAGGCCATGTTGGCCTTGATTCGCCTGCCTCTGCCTCATGAGTGCTAAGATTAAAGGCACGCACTACCACACTCAGCACTTCCTCCTCTTATAAGGGAGGCCTGTCCTTTGGGACTAGGGTCCTACCCTGTTGACCTCATTTATCAGCACTCACCTTAAAACTTTCATCTCTACGTATAGTCCCTGTAGGGATTAGGACATCAAAATATGGATTTGGGAAAAACCAATTCCATCTGTAACACACAGATCCTTGTAAATCCCCACTTTACAGATAGGGAAACTGAGGCTTGCAGGATGCAGGTGCAGCAAGTTCCAGATCCTTTCTGGGTGACTAGCCCAACCTGCACCATGCAGCTCAGGCTGAGGCCCCTTAGCTTCCCCCAGGCCATTTTCATAGACATGAGGGCCCAACTCCCTCTTCCCCCAGGGAGGTGGCTGGGGTGGAACTGAGATAAGGGGTATAGACATATTTGTAGGTAAGTCTGGTTTGGGACTGACCCTTGGGCCCCTCAATTCAGGTAGGGCTCTGTCCTGAAAAGCAAAGAGCAAAGAGCTGACCACTAGGCCTGCTTCCCACCCTAAATGAAGGACAAGCCCTGAGGGGTCCTGGAGACCTAGATGCTTGGAGGAGAAAGCCCTGGCAGAACAAAGAGTGGAAAAGCCGGCTGGGGGAGGGGAGGGTCCAGGCCAGGCACCAAGTGGGTGAGAACAGGAAGTGACAACCACAAGTACAGGGAAAGAGGTTGCCAGAGATGGAACAAGGCCTGGGATGTTGGTTAGGAAAGTAGAAATGACATCAGACCTCTTGATGGTGCCCTTGTGGAGCAGGGAATTCCCAAACAACCCCCTCTCCTAGCATGCTGGCTTCTGTCCCAGAGTCAGGCCAGTTTACTTCTTTAGGATAAGTTACCCAATCAGAGGACCTTTTTATTCATTCATTCATTCATTCATTCATTCATTCATTCATTCATTCATTTTGTGTGTTTGTGGCTCTGTATGGGAACACAAAGGCATGTGAAGGTTAGAGGAAAACTTGTGGGAGACAGTTCTCTCCTTTCACTACCTGAGTCCAGGGAATTGAACTCAGGCAGTCAAGTTCGGCAGCAGACACCCCGACTCACTGAGCCCTCTCCATGGCCCTCAGATGACCTTGCTGAGGAGTCAAACAGGACAAAGACAGAAGTGAGTTCCTGGTGTGGGGCCCATCCAGGCTCTTCCCATTAACCACCCCACCCCACCCTGTTTTCCTAATCTGGGCAGACAATTCCCCATGCAAGCTGGGGTTTGAGGGGAAGTTTACTCAGTGTCCTTTAACGCCTGAGGTATTTGGCTGAACCGTGGGGAGGGCTTCCTGCTCCTCACCGGGGTCCTGAAGCAGGACCTCTTCCCCCACTGCCTGAAGGGTCCCAGGTGCAACCCCCACCCACTCTTGCCACGTGCAGCCCAGGGTTCCTCAGGGTCCCGTGTGCAATCTACCCCCTTGCACTCGAGGACCCCGCCCCATGCACATCTTCGACAGAATCCCCAGCCATGAGTTCCCAGCACCCCCACCTTCACCCCCACCCCCGGGCCTGTACAGCCACCTGCGCAACCTGAAGTTGGCCCTTTGGATCTACAAGACGGGCGCCCTGGGGACCCTCAGGCCAGCTGTGGGAGGGCGCAGGGCATAAGGGTGCGGGCCTTGTTTCACCCACTTGGACTATCCAGGGAGTCCAGTCGGTCCCCTTTCCCCGCCCCCCAAGCGGCTCTCCTTCCGGCGCTTGAGGACAGAATCCGGGCCGGCAAAGGCCGGAACTCCGTGGCGGGGGCTTTTGTTTCCCGCCGGAAGGACCCTAGAGCTGACTTCTGTCGCTATGGCAACGCAGCCAGCCCGGAAAGCAGTGAGCCCAGACCCCCTGAGAATCCCCGGGGCGGCCGAGTGTCTGACGCGGGGTGTGGCGGGGGACGAAGTGGCCGGCGGATCACAGGGAGGCGCGGTGAGTGGCAGGTCCGGCTCCCCGGAGCTTCCGCCCGGACAGCCACTTCGCGGGGTGCGGGGCTCCCGCAGACCTCACGACCTCGGGCACCGAGCTCTCTGGTGCTGTGTGCCTCAGCGTGGCCGGGCCCAGTGCTTTCCCGTGACTCGGTTCAAGGTCTGCGAAGGGAGATGGCGTCCTTGTGCCGCTTAGAAGAGGGCCAGGTTGTGCATCCCGGGGGAGCCGCGTTGGTGACGCGGCTTTGGGTGGCACTGCGTGGCCGTCCTAAAGGTACCGTTTTCTCCTTGTATACTCGATGCCTCCTCGGGAGCCACTTTGTGATCTAACCGCAGTTTCTGTTACTCATTTTCGCATAAATGAGTGAAAGCTTCCTGATTTTCTTTTTTTCCATTTAATTTCACGTTTTATTCTGGTCACTTCGGGTGGAACAAAGAACTCAGAAGTTACCGAATCAGACCATTCAGACCTTTAGGGCTAAACTGGGATCCAGTTTCGAATGGCCTTTTATTTAGAATCTGGATCAGAGTGGGCTTTAATCCCTGCTGGGGGCTGAGCCAGTGCAGAGAACGTGTGCTCCAGGACCCTGGTGGGTCCTCCACGCGGATCCCAGGAAAAGGAGCTGCAGCAGTACCCCCAAGGGATTAGGAGCGTCACAGGCCATGGATTGGCAGAAGGCCATCGGCATCCCTTGGACCTATATTCTGGACTCCTCTGTGGGTCTGTGAAGATCAGGGAAGGGTGCTTCTTGGCTTTAGGAATAGTCCAGCATAGACACATTTGCCAGCGTTTCTCCATGACCCCGGGCTTGAAAAGTCTGGGCTGTGTATTTTTATTTCTCATCCTGAGGGATACTTTACCTTCAAGAAATTCCCATTCCTCGGAGCGCTCCAGATGTCCCAGTTAACAGCACTATGTGATTAACTGGCCCGGTGGCTTTCTGGTTCCTGGTTGCTTCTCCGTCCTGAAGCACCTGAGTGTTTCTAGTCATCTCAGTCAGAAGGCATCCATCTCTGCTTCCTTCTGCCTTTTGCTTGGTGTCCTTTTCACTGCAGACAAAGGCACTTGGAGGCTGGCCCAGAACCAGCACTTACCATGCTGCTCTGATCGGGAGTAACAGAGCCTGAGTGCTGACTTGTGGTCACTCGCCTTTGCTTCCCGCAGCCCCGGACCTGAGATAATTATGGACATGGTATTCGCCAAAGATTTTACGGCTTCCATCACTCTTGCACTTATTAGAGTTCTGATAAAAGTCTCCCTTCTTTGAGCCAGGCATAGTGCTGCACGCCTTTAATCCCAGCACTTGGGAGGCAGACGCAGGTGGATCTCCCTGAGTTCAAGGCCAGCCTGGTCTACATAGTGAGTTCCGGGACAGCTGGGGCTACAGGGAGACCCTGTCTCAAAAAGACCAAAAAAAAAAAAAAAAAAAAAGAGAGAATATGAATTGTGCTTATCACCTAGGTGCTGATGGAAGGCAGCAGGGCAGGCCTGGGTTGAGCAGTACTGTGTGGCAGAAAGCCCCTGGTAGTTCCCGCTTGGTCCTTTACAGAGTACCTGCCAAACCCTGCCCTGGGTGATACAGTGCTCTTACAGAAAGCCTGTGCAGGATCTCAGATGTGAGTCCAGTGCAAGAAAGCTTTTGCTTTGCCTCAGGAATGGAGTGTCTCTACCTGTGAAAGATATGACTCCATCCAGTTTGTTTTTGCCTCCAGCACCCCAGTGGGGTTACTGCTCAGCACTTGGTTGTGTGGCCTTGTGCCCCATCCCTAGCTTTCCCAGTCTTTTGTGTGACCTTCCTTCCTGCAGTTGGTCTTCTAAGCACTGTTGTGTTCTTTCAGAGCTTGAAAGGCAAAACTGTGTCCATGGTCCAGTGGGACTCCTGTTTTCTCCTGAGAATGCACCTTGTTTTACTCCTGATGGTGTATAATGATTTTGACCAATTTTTATCAGAAATTTCATGAATAAAATGAACTTCATGTCTCTAAGAAGTATTCCTTCCTATACAGAGACCAGCTGCTGACTGAGGAACACGAGTTGATGAAAACACATATTCAACACACATTCTCATGAACTCATATATCCGCATCATACTCCACACATGCACACACAGCATGTCAAAATACACTCACACTCACATTCCCTCACACCACATACTCATATACAACATGCTCACACACACACACACACACACCACACATACACACACACACGGCACCAAAGCATATTCGTTGATGGGGAGGCAAGGCAGCCTACGTCAACCCTGTCAGTGCTCTCTTCCAGCGTATTACCCATCATCCCGCACCTAGAAGGTTCTCTGGAAATGTATACAGGTTCTCTGGTGAGTTGAGGTGTCTGAGGCTGTGTGTCTGTTCTTTCTAAAGAAGGCCTGCTTACAGAGAGTCAGGCATGCCACCTTCTTTGGCATGGCAGTGATACACAATTGTTACTTCTGGATGCCTTCTGGGAACAAGCTCTAGAAAAGGGCCTCGTTCAAACACTGTGGCTCCAGAGGTGCCAGCAGCTCCTGGGCCTCCGTTTGCACCCTCCTGGCCGTGGTGCCTAGGCTGGTGATGCCTAGCACCCAGTACTTGTGCCTTAGGATGACCATTGTAAATCAAGCCAGAAGTCCCAAACTAGATGGCTTTGTATATCAGAAACAATTCTCTGCTAAGTACCGGACCAAGGCCTGACCAGAACTGGTAACAGTCTGCAGTATACCTTGACAAGAAATAGACCCTCTAGTATTCTTGTGATCACCACAGTCTCTGCCCTGTAGGACCAGTTCTTGGCCCCTAGTAGCTTTAGAGACCTCAGTGGAAAAGTAAAAGTTTTATAATGTTGGATCTAATATTTTCTTTTCCTTTTTTTTTTTTTTTTTAAATCTTTTGGTTTTTTTAAGACAGGGTCTTCCTGTAGCCCCAGCTGGCCTAAATTTGCTATGGAGACCAGGCTGGCCTAGAACTCACAGAGATCCACCAGCCTCTGCCTCCCAAGTGCTAGGATTAAAGGCTTGTGCCACCATGCCCGGCTGGATCTAATATTTTTAAAAATAAGACTAGGGGCCAGGTGTGGTGGCTCATGCCTTTAATCCCAGCACTTGGGAGGCAGAGGCAGGCGGATCTTTGTGAGATTGAGGTCAGCCTGGTCTACATAGCAAGTTCTAGACCCTGTGTCAAAAACCGAAAAATAAAGTGCGACTTTAGCCAGGCACAGTAGCGGTGCTCTGTGCTATACCCGTAGCCCCTGCTATTCAGGGGTCTGAAGCAGGATTGAAAGTTCAAGGCCAGTCTAAGCGACTTAGCAATACACCATCTCAAAAAAAAATGTTGATTTTGGGGCTGGAGAGATGGCTTAGCGGTTAAGAGCACTAGCTGCTCTTGCAGAGGACCCCAGTTCAAACCCCAGTCCCCAATTCCAGGGGGATCCACTGCCCTCTTCTGACATTTGTGGGCATTACACAACATGGGTGCACTGTCACACACACAGGCAATACACTCATACACATAAAATAAAAATAAAATTTTTTTTAAGAAGTCAAAGAACAGAGGAGCCTGTCGTGGGTTGAATCTTCTAGGAGCATGGTCCTGGGTGTCGGAGAGCGTGGTGGAAACTGGCAAGTGTGGGCTTCAGTCCTGGCTCAACTGCTTCTCTTTCTCAGTTTCCCAAGGTGCACAGTGGAGTGAGCCCTGTGTGAAGCTGTGCTGCAGACCTAGCTCCTACAGGTGTGCAAACCCCGATTCCTCTTTTCCCTTCCTCTGCCTCCCTGGACCCACTGCCCTGGTCCCTCTGCTGTAGGTGAAGCTCAGAAGGTGACAATAGGTGAGCCCAGGAGGCCTGTGCTTGTGCCTCTATGTCATGACTCTGAGCCTCCCCTCCCAAGCAGGGGGGGACCACACTAGCCATGGCTAGAGACCTGAGGTGGGCACCGGGGAAACAGGGCTCGAGCCTCACATGCACCTCTCACTGCCTCCTCTGCAGCTGCCACCATGCTGCCGCTGTGCTCCAAGCAGGCCCTGAGTGAGCTGCTGGCTCGAAAGGAGGAGGAGTGGCGGGCACTGCAGGCCCACCGTGCCCAGCTGCAGGAGGCAGCTTTACAGGACACTCAGAACCGCCTAGAGGAGGTGCGGGGGAAGCTGCGGCGCCTGCAGGAGGACTTTGTCTACAACCTTCAAGTGCTGGAGGAGCGCGATCAAGAGCTGGAGCGCTATGATGCCGAGTTTGCCCAGGCCGGCAGGCGGGAGGAGGCCAGGCAGGCGGAGACCAGTGAGCTCAAGATAGAGGTGGCTAAGCTGAAGCAGGCACTCACCAGAGAAGTCAGGCGCGCGGAGGAGCTGCAGCAGCAGCAACAGCTGAGGGTTCAGGAGCATCGTCTGGAACTGGAGCGCATCCGCAGGTGAGCACTGCCACGGGTGAGCGTCACAGACGGCAAAGCCCTGGTACCTTCTCCCAGTGAGCACTGGGAGCCACCCTCTCTCACTGTGCCCTCTACTGGAGCTTCAGTGCCAGGGTGCTGGACTGGACAGTCTCAGTGGCCAAGTGCTTGATGAACCCTTGAGTATGTATTGGACAAGCCCCTGGATGTCATTTTCTGGGTTTACATGGCTGAAATTATCCAAGATTGGTTTAGACATTTGGAATTTGTTTCATTAATTATAGGTTATATCTGTTAATAAAATATATTTGAGCCTATAATTATTTTTAACGTAAAATGAATACAATTTCCAAACCACGAGAGCTGACTGCAGCAGTAGACGTGAACCTGAAGGCCCCTTTGTAGGCTCTGGTGGAGGGCTCGGCTCTAGATTCCATGTTACCCGTTCCACTCACAGACCAGAGTGCTCCAGTTTCATAGACTCTAACAGACTGAAGGTGGAGTCACTTAGAACCCACCAGCTTCACTGTCCCTCCTGTCACAAGCAGCACAAGTTCACTGTGTCACGGGCAACACTGGAGTGTGTATGTTTCCTGTCTCTCTGTGGTACAGAGCAGCAAGCGGAATGCACACTACCTCTTGCTCTGTAGACTCCATGTTACATGCTCTGCTAGCATCAAGATGTCTAAGAATCAGAAAAGTCACATGCCTCCTACAGGAATGCTGTCTGTGGGATGTCCAAGTGAAAAGCAGTTTGGTCCCTAGTGGACGGTTCCCTCACAGTGTCCAAGATTTGCTTCCACAGTTCCCAGTCTGTTCTTTCTTGGCACCTTCTTCAGGCAGCACACGGGGTTCTGCCACATCCTGACCCTCCATTGTGTGCTGGCCCCATTTGGTCAGAAGGGTGCCAGATAGCTGCGGGCCAGTGGAGACTGTTCACTGCAGATGTGTTGGTTACTTCTTTCCTCTCTGGGTCAGAAACAACTTAAGAGAGGATGGATTTAGTTTGACTCATGGTGCATAAGGAGACGTCCTTCATGGCAGTACTGTTGGAGTGGCTGGGCCCACTGCAGCAGGAACATGCTATGTTAGGTCTGCAGAGCAGGAAGCAGAAACTTAGACTGTAAGTGGGGCTGACCTGTACGCAAGCTGCTCCCATGGCCCTATGTCCAGAAGGTTCCATAACTTCCAAAGCATGTTACTGCCTGGGTCCAGCCTTTCAAGCACATGAGCTTGTGGGAGATGGTTCATATTCAAACCATACTTTGACAGCAGGTCAGGCAAAGAGAAGAGTCCCATGGGGACTACAGTGCTACTTTGTTACAGATGTTGGTGTTGCAGAGTCACTGTCCTCAGGGAGGTCCAAGATGTCCAGGTCCCTTTGTGGTGTCTCTCAGTACAGGTGTTGGATGCCAGTCAAGTGGCCTTTGACTCAAGCATTGCGGCAGATGCTACTTACCAGGGAACCCCCGCAGCGGGGAGGTCTCCTTGGCTTCCCACACTCAGCGTAGACATGCCCATAGTACAGGGAGCATGTGGACAGTGGCGGCCACAGTACCTGCCATACAACGACCGACTTTCTTATGACTGTTTTGGGAGTTTCACCAACTCACAGCACAGATTTTATTCCAGAAGGAGCACAGTATTTATTCTCAGCCAAATATGAGTCACCATGGGTTGGAATTACAAATTCAAGTTATCTGAATGACTTGTTCCATGGTAGAGAGGTTACAAACGAACTATAGTTGCAGAACAAAGTGCTCTACAATAGAGCAGATTTTACAAATAGATCTAGACAATCGTCCAGTGAAATGAATTCCACAATCACTATAGCATTCAGCAGGAGTGCTCCAGGGAGGAACACTTCCTTCTTTAGATCTAATCTCATGTAGTTCAGGTTGTTCCCAAGCTCAGTGTGTAGATAAGGATGTTCTTGAACTGCTTTCACCTCCCAGTATTGGACATGGCACTGGGCCTGGCCAAGAGAATTAGTTCTAATAGAATTTTTCCTACTCTTCAGGTGGTGACGTTCCAGCAGGGAACACTTCTGTCCAATGGGAAGACGTATAGAGTAGGGCATGTTTGTAGCCTCTTGTTAGAGGCATTTGGGTGAAATCTAGTTTTCACAGTGTCCTTGTGATTCGTTCTCCAAGTTCTCCAAGATTACATCTGGGACAAATAAGGCACTTTGAATATAACCTTTGAGCTATCCTGAGGAGCATTTTTTAGAAATTTTGTTATTTTGGGGGGGGCTGGAGAGAGGGCTCAGTTCAGCTTCTCCTAGTCATATCTCACATTGCTATATAAATTGGATATTTGTGGTATTGAGGCATAGCAGCTCTTTCCTGATTCTCAGCAGGCATTCTTACATCATCATCTATTTTATTACATTGGGGGTTCTTCCAGTCTGCCAAGTGAAGCTGTTCTCCTGCCCTACTTCCTAAAGCTAACAATCAAATGAACTGATAGGTCAGTAGGGTGATCTGAAATTCCTTATCAAATCCCAGAGGATCCTGGTGGCTCAGGAAACCCTGTAGTATAAATTGTCAGCTCAGTTTTTATCCATGGAATGGAGATTGTATCAGGACTACTTTTCTTTCTGGGTTTTGTCTTTAAAGAGGCTGTAGCAATCTTTTCCTTTGATATAGAATCCTGTTCCCTTCAGGTGTGACTAGGGAAGAATGGAGGAGAGGTGGTGTGCTGGACAGCTTCAGGTGTCAGCTTGACACACCTGGGTAGAGGGAGCCTCAATTGGTGAGCTGCCTCCATTGGACTGGTCTGTGATCATGTATATGGGGCATCTTCTTGATTATTGAGTGATGTGGGAGGGCCCAGCCCACTGTGGGTGGTGCCACCCATGGGCAGGTGGGCCTGTGTTGTATAAGAAAGCAGGCTGAGCAGGGGCCAGGGGAGCAAGCCAGTCAGCAGCACTCCTCTGTGTGGTGTGTGCTCCAGCTCCTGGCTCCAGGTTCCTGCCCTGAGTTCCTACCTTGGGTTACCTCAGTGATAAACTGTGACCTGGGAGATATAAGCCAAATAAACCCTTTCCTCCCCAAGCTGGTAGTGGTCAGTGTTTTGTCACAGCAATGGAGAAACAAACTAGAACAGGTGGTGACGAAAGAAAAGACTCAGATTTCAATGATAGAGCCATCCCAGAGGAGGACAGAGGGAGCGAGGGGTTGGAAGTGTTAGGCTCAGAGTTCACCTTTAGTTCTGACAGTCTTTTTCGTATTACCTTTCATCTCTTTCAATTTTGATAGTTTCTAAAACTCTCTTGTTAATTTCCCAAAGAACCAATTTAGGAAGATGAAGCTAGATGTGGTTGACTCATACCTGTAATCCCAGAACTTGGGAGGTAGAGCCAGGAGAGTCAGGAGTATAAGGCCAGCCTTGCTACAAAGCGAGTGCAAGGCTAGCCCGGGCTATGTGAGATCCTGAATTTAAAAGCAAAACAAACAGTTGTAGTTTTGTTTCTGTTGTTGTGGTAAATACTATGACCAAAAAGCAGCTTGGGGAGGAAAAGATTTATTTCATCTTACAGCTCCTCGGTCACAGTCTGTCACTGAGGGAAGTCAGGGGAGGAACTCAAGCAGGAGACACCATGGAAGAGCACCTCTTCTGGCCCTGTGAGCCGGTACTGCTCACAGTGGGCTGGGCCCTCCTGTACCAATTAGCAATTAAGAAAAAAACCTTGGGGCTGGAGAGATGGCTCAGCGGTTAAGAGCACTGACTGCTCTTGTAGAGGATCTGGGTTCGATTCGCAGCACCCACATGGCGGTTATGAACCGTCCTTAACTCCAGTTCCAGGGGAATCCAAAGCCCTCTTCTGACCTCCACAGCGTTGCATGACATAGGTGCACTCACATACATGCAGGCAATACACTCATACACATAAAATAAAAAGAAAAGAAAAGAAAAAAACCTCACAGACATACCTGTGGGCCAGTCTGATGGAGGAAATTTCTCAGGTGAGGTGTCAAGTTGACAAAAACTTATTAGCACACAGAAAAGAAATAAAGGGGGGATGAAATGTTCTCCACTGAAGGAAACATAAAGCCAAGTCATCTTCAGTCACATTTCCCCCATTTTCCAAATACTTGAAAATTGAGGTTCTGTAATTATCAAATATAAAACCAGCTGGAAGACCAAACTTCCTTCCTTCCTTGAGTTTCAGTCTCCCATTTCAGTGCAGGTGCCATTTCTCCTGAAACTTTAATTTCTTTATAATAAAGGACTTAGAATTTCTATACCAAAAGGGACAAGTTTGCAGTGAACAGGAGATAGAAAAGTGAGACATCAGAGCAGTGGTAGGAGAAAGATGGAATGCCAGCAAAGGTTCCACTAGGTCTTGTGAAGCAGCAAGAGGGTCCAGATCATCAGCCAGACAGAGAGGTCCAGCCCTCAGAAAGGCTCACCAACAGCCCCAGGAGTCGAAAGAGACAGGCTCAAAAGACCCATGCTAGTACCTGGCACCTGTCCGGGTAATTCCAGTGGTGAAAGTGGGGCCCCCCTGGGGCCCCATGCTGGGTCACCACAACTGTCAACACAAACATTGCTCCTGGTCCAAAGGGAGTAAGATAGTTTGTTCTCAGCCAAATGTGAGTGCCCATGGCTTGGGAACATGTATTCAGGTTGTCCCTACTGATTTGCTACATTGTGTTAGAGGTTATATGAACCTTTATCGTCACAGAACTTTAGTCCTAAGTCAACACCTTTATCAAATACACTGGTGGAACATCAGGTAGGCAGTTTATAGGAGAGCAGGGGATCTCTGCTACTGTTTCACATGCTATCTTTTTCTTAAGAAATTTTATATGTGTGTGTTTTCCCTGCATGTATGTATGTGCACCATGTGCATACAGTGCCTACACAGAGGCCAGAAGAGGGCATCGGATCTCCTGGAACTGGAGTTATGGGTGGTTGTTAGCCACCATGTAGGTGTGGGAACCAAACCTGGGTCCTCTGGGAGAGAAACCAGTGCTCTTAACTGTTCAGATGTCTTTTTAAGGCAAGGTCTCACTGTATAGCCTTGACTGGCCTGGAACTCACTGAGTAGACCTGGCTAGAACTCCCAGAGAGCCATCTGCCTTTGCCTCCTGAGTGCAGGGATTAAAGGCATGTGCCTCCAAACCCAGCCTGTCAGAGTCTGTCTTGTTATATTCTTAGCTTTAGGGTTTGATGGAAGCTGCTGGTCTGCTAAGTTTTAGCAATATATTCCACAGGCTTTACCCAGCGTGCACTAGTGGGAGGCCACATGTGGAGGCTGGTGGCCAATGGCTATGGAGGGACTGAGAGTGGTCAGGACACAGCTGTTGGTCCGCAGCACTCCCAGTCCTTAGTCGCAGGCAGAGTCTTCAGCCGGGAGAGGAGAGGGTTCCTTGGAGGACTTAGAGCTGCTGTGTGCTGTGCCTTCTCTTCTTTCCCTTCTCTGCACCTAAAACCTCTCAGCCATGTTCAGATACTTTCTCAGCCCCATCCTCTTTCCTTCTGTCCCAAACCCTGAGGGTGTAAGCGTTAGTCACTGTCATCCCACAGATCCTCAGGGCTCTGTTCATTTTCCAGTTTATTTTCTCTCTGCTCAGATCAGGTAGTATCTGTTGTCTGTGTCAAGTTTACCGATCCCTCCTCTGTCATACTCACTCTGACATCAAGCCCATAAGGTGAGCCTTTTGGTTCTTGTACTTTTTAGCTCCCAGGCTTTCATTTGTTTTCCAAGTTGCTTGTCTATGCCTGTGCTGTCTCTTTTTTTTGTCTTTTTGAGACAGGGTCTCCCTGTAGCCCCAGCTGGCCTGGAACTCACTATGTAGACCAGGCTGGCCTTGAACTCACTGAGATGGGTAGTAAAACGAATCATTCCTGCAGTGGCCTCCACAAATGCAGTCATTGCGGGTAAGGAAACAAGGGCACTTCTTGTTTTGTTTAGTTTTTTCCTTTTTTTAAAAATTTTTTTTAATTATTATTTTTATTTTTATGTGTCTGAGTGTGTTGCCTGCATGTAAGTGCACCCATGTCATGCAAAGCCCACTGAGGTCAGAAGAGGGTGTTGGATTCCCCTGGAACTGGAGGTAGAGATGGTTATTAGCCACCATGTGAGTGCTGGGAATTGAACCCAGATCTTCTGCATGAATAGCCAGTGTTCTTTTTTTTATAATATTCTTTCATTTTATGTAAATAAGTGTATTGCCTGTATATGTGTAAGTGCACCTGTGTTGTGCAATACCCACAAAGACCAGAAGAGGGTGTCAGATCCCTTGTAACTGGAGTTACAAACAATTGTTGACTGCCATGGGGTGCTGGGAACCAAACCCAGATCCTCTGCAGAGTAGCCAGTGCTTGTAACCACCGCTGAGCCATCTCTCCAGCCCCGGTCTGTGCTGTCTGGTATTGGCATCTGTTGATGCACTTTTCCTGGTTCTGGGTAGTCAGCCAAATGGATCTGGGTTCTGTGTTGTGTTTTCTCCTGTGCAGGTGGTTATCCTTTAGGGGTGCAGGCAGGTCCAGGGAAATGAGGTTTTGCCTTCTCAGAGCCCCATCGGAGGCATTCCTGCAGAAGCCATGTACCATGTGTACAGTGCACCCTGCAGTGTGTGCATGTGTGAATGTTTGGTATAGCTCTCTGAAGACTGTGTCTGATCATCACAGTGACAAGAACAGTGAGCTCGACCACCAGCGGGAGCAGTATGAGAATCTGAAGTGGAAGCTGGAGAGGAAACTGGAGGAACTCGACGGCGAGCTTGCTCTGCAGAAGCAGGTAGAGTACCATTGCATTTGGTCCTTCCTGGGGGGCGAGCTTGCTCTGCAGAAGGACGTAGGGCACTGTTGGGTTTGGTCCTTCCTGAGGGGCATTCCTTGCCAAGCTCTTGGAAATCTACATGGTGAGGAGTTCGTTGGATATGCTCTCCAGGAGAAGTGGAACAGCTGGGCTGTGCTCCACCCTGGGGTCTGTTGGACAGGGTCTTTCCTGGCAGTCACTGCCAACTTGTTCTCATGTGCTGGTCAGAGGTCTCCAGAGAAACAGAGTCAAGGAGCTATGTAGATGTGTACAAGTATCTGTATGTGTGAGTTGACCCATGTGGTTGTGGAGGCCACCCCATAATCTGCCATGTAGGCTGGAGAACCTGGCACTGGGTGTACTTATGTCTGAACCCAAAGGCCTGAGAAGCAGGAGTCCCACCCTTTGAGGGTGGTAGACGATGGCAGTCAGGACTCACAAGGAGGGAATCTGCCCTTTGTCACATTTTTGTTCTTTCAAGTCTTCAAAATATTGGCCCACACCACCCTGTGGGAAGCCTGGGTCTTTACTCAATGCACTGGTTTAGATGTTCATCTCCTCTGGAAGCTTCTTCATAGACACTGAGAAATAATGATTTACAAACTAACTGGGAAGGCTTTAGGCCAGTCAAGTTGACTCAAAATTAACCATTAGAACATCTACTCTTTGTCAACCTGGCCCCATACACATTTCCCCATCTTGTAAAGCATACTTAATTCCCACATAAAGATACTAGCAAGGGTATAACGCCACTTAATGTGATACAGCAGTTTTGAGTACAACCAAAATGTGATAGTTTCTTCCCCAGTGTGGTACAAAGCATTCACGTTTTTGAGTTAAGGTCTTCCTGTAGAGCCCATCCTGGCCTCAAACTTGCCATCCTGCCTCAACCTCCCAATGATGTTTGGATGCATCACCTCATCCACCTAAAGTTGGGGTTTTTGGTTATTTTGGGGAGTGGGTTTTTTTTTTTTTTTGAAACAGGGTCTCCCTGTAGCCCCATCTGGCCTGAAACTTACTATGTAGACCAGGCTGGCCTCAAACTCACACCACAGGTTGGGAACCAAGGTGAGTATTCTGCCAGTTGCTAGGCATATGTGTCCCAGTAGTTTATTGAAGAACCGGGGGGCAGGGGTGACCACTGGATAGGTTTGGGGACTCACTGTGCCCACTGTGGGAGACACCTGACCACTTGAGTGCCTCCTGAGTGCTGGAATTAAAGGTGTGTACCACCATACCCCACCTATTTATTTGGGTTTTTGAGACAGAGTCTCACTATATAGGCTTCAAACTCCCTGAAGGCCTCCTGCATCTGCCTCCCAGGTGCTGGGATCACAGGCATGTGCTATCACACCTGACCCTCTCCCCATTATCTTGAAGCCCAGCTGTTTTTACTTCCTTTTTCCTTATTGTGATCAAATATCAAATACCACAAGAAGCAACTTAAGAGGAGAGGCTTATTTTGGGTCCCTGCTTGAGGAGATACCATCAGCCATAGTGAGGAAGGCATGGTGCCAGACAGCTGTGTGGTAGGAACATTCAGCAGCTAGCTGAATTACGTCCGGAAGCAGAGCCCAGGTTGGTTGTGGGACTGGGCTATAACCCTCAAGCACCATCCCTTAGCAGCCTACTTCCTGTAGTGAGGTCCCACCTACTGAAGGTTCCACAGCCTCAGAATAGTGCCACCATCTGGGACCAAGTGTTCAAACATAGGAGTGTCTGAGAGACCAACTATACCACCAGGAGACTCAGCTGACTGCAATTTGGATGAAACATGCCCTGATGCTTTACACAGAGTCCAGATCCAGCGGATGTTGGAGAGAGTGTGACAGGGTCTCCTTCGCTCCTCCCAGAGATTGGAAACTTCATTGTAGTGGCCACTGTGCAAAGAATATTGCTGCATGGTGACCTCTGTGCAGGAACATGGAATTGTATGCATCCCACAGCAGACATGTGATTCCCAGTTACATACATCTTGCTTTTAGACTTGTGTACAAGATACTAGAGAAGCTGAAAGCAGAAGTCAGCCATGCTGCCCCTATATCTACCCCTTTCCTCCCTAATCCTTGGATGAAGGTGTCCTTGGGCAGATACGGTGGGGTACATGGGCACCTGCAGAGAAGCAGCTCTGCCCTGGTCACTGGAAACAATGGTTCTCAAGACAGAACCTCTTCTCGTAGACTTGCATGTGTGGAGTAGGGCCTTGCTGCCTGTGCAGCCTGCCCACGGCACAGTTCACCCACAATATGATAACATATGCCAAAGTGGGACTGAAAGGGTACCTGTAACACTGACCCCTTGAACCTCACCCCGACACACAACTACTCTACCAACTGGGGCCAGCAGAGGAGGCTGGACTCCTAGTGGGATGGGTACTTCCAGCCCTTCTGCCTGGACATGGAGCCAGTACTCTTGACTGCCTTTGGGAGTTAACACTCAGGATGCTGCCTTGGCTCAGAACATTCTTGATATGTCATGGTAAATTGTCCTCAGAGGATTTCTTTTAAAATTCTTAGGAACCAGCTGGGCATGATGGCCCATACCTTTAATCCCAGTGCTTGGGAGGCAGAGGCAGGCGAATCTGTTACTTCAAAGCCAGCCTGGTCTACATAGTGAATTCCAGGCCAGCTGGGGCTACAGGGAGACCTCAAAAAAAAAAAAGATGACCTAAAATTCTTAGGGACCAAAGTCCTTTGTGAACTGTAGATAGATTTGACTTTGGAAACAGCCAGGAGTCTTACACATTAAGCCAGGGCCTGAAGTGTGTGGTCAAAAAAAGACCAACTGTGCCAGACACGGTGGCTCAAGCCTGCAATCCTAATACTTGGGAGACTGAGGTTAAAGAATCACTGTGAGTTCAAGGCCATCCTGGGCTACAGAGTCTCAAAACAGCAAAACAACTGAAGACCAGCCATGACTTCTAAGAAATGATGCTTCTTGGTGGTGCCAAATTTACCAAAGGAGTTTGAGGAGGGCTTTGACTGGAGAAGGTATTAGTGGCACTTGGCTAGCATGCCATGCCTAGGCAACATTCTTGTAGAACTGCTGTTCAGACTCGGCAGAGCACACTCAGGTGTCCCTGCAGACATCAGGGAGCATGGGTCCTGTCACCTCAGTGGTATCCCTATCTCTAGAAGCAGAAAACCTTGGTGTGTGCTACTCCAGCTCTGACTTCTGCAGGAAGCATGGGAAGGATTTGCCCACTGTGGCCGACAACAGCCAGCCCACTATGGCCCAGGGCAGTCAGTCTGAGACAGCCTGTGTGACCTGAAGTGGTGGAGTAGAGGGGTTGCTTGAACACAGTCCTGCTCCTCCTGCTCCTCGAGGCTCAGTCTTTCTGTTGTTAATTTCATGTGTGTGTTAATTTCATGTATGTGTCCTCTAGTGACGTGTCAGAATTGATTCAGTGAAATGATTCTGATTCTTCTCTTGAAAAGTAACGTATGAGCTGATGGCAAGTAAGCCAGTCTGTTTAACTTTATTACACAAGCAAGTTTTGGACTGTGGACCAAAGGAAATCCTTTTCCTGTTGGTTAGTCTCAGGGTCATGAGACATGGAGATTTATTCATTCATTTAAGAAATGTTTTTGAGCCGGGTGTGGTGGTACATGCCTTTATTCTCAGCACTTGGGAGGTGGAGGCAGGTGGATCTCTGTGAGTTCAAGGCCAGCCTGGTATACATAGTAAATTCCAGAGTTCTAGGCCAGCTGGAGCTACAGGGAGACCCTGTCTCAATAAGACAAAAGAAAAAAGTTTTTGAATACATGCAACATGCTGGTAGCCTTCAGGCTGTGGGTTGGGCTTGAATGCCTGACATGCCTAGCTGTGCCTGCCCTGCAGAACAAGGAACACCTTGGGGTACAGTTTACCACCTGAACCTTAAGCAAGGTCCAGAGCCCTCGCCTTTCCAAAGTGGACGTGGTGAGACAGGAGGGTCAGAAGTGGGGTGAGTGGGGACTCACCTTTAAAGTAGAGTGACCAGCAAAGACCACCTGACATTGTTGAGGGACTGTAGGGGAGAGCTCAGCAGGAGGGACGCAGGTGCCTAGCTGTATGCTCAGGGATACTAGAAGCTAGTGTTCAGAGTAGGGTGATGGGGTGGAGGGGGCCCTGCAGAGTCTGCAGACCATTCCAGTCACATGGGAGGCTGTTGGGGTTTAAGCAGAGCAGTGACATGATTGAGGATATACAGAGCCTGAAGGGGGAGAAGTCTCCAGCAGGCTGCTTAGGGCTACCTGGGCAGTAGGCCTCTGCAGATGAAACCAGCCGAATCTTGTTATGCCTAGAAGGGAAGCCAATGGATGCCTGATGGGTCTGGTGGAGAAGACACAGATGGAGTTGGTCTGAGCACTCAGGGGATCACTCCTGGTTGTCAAGTCAAGGGCATGTATGAGGAGGACAGTGGGAGACACACTTGTGTGGATGTCCAGGGCTTCATAAAAAGGCCCCTGGCAAAAGCCTAGGGCTATCACCGAAGCCTGAATATGAACACAGCCCCCAAAACCTTGGCTGCGAAGGCACAGCGGAGGTCCGAGGTCGCAGAGCATGTTGGCCAGCAAGGCAGAAGCTCTGGTGTGACTTGGTAGTGTGGATCCCTGCCCTCTAGTGGCCACAGCCTGCAGAACTCTCCCCTGCTTGCCTTCCTCCCTCCTTCCCTCTCTCTCTGCTGGAGATGGAACTCGGCATTATACATGCCAGGTGGGTGGTTACACCTGAGCTATATCCCCAGCCCATGACTTTATGATTTTGCTTGTTTGTTTTTTAAATATTTTTATTTTTTTTATTTTATGTGTATGTGTTGCATGTATTGCCTGCATGTGGGTATGTGCACCTGTGTTGTGCAGTGCCCACGGTCAGGAGAAGGTGTCAGATCCCTTGGAACTGGAGTTACGGATGGTTGTTAGCCACCATGTGGATGCTAGGAGTCGAACTTGGGTCCTCTGTAAGAGTAGTTTGTGCTCTTAACTGCTGAGCCATCTTTCCATCCCAGGAACTTTATAATCTGTAATAATAATTTTCATATTCTGATTCCATTAAGAGTTCCTCGTGTGACTACTCATTTCACATTAACCTTCCAAATGATGAAAAAGTGATGTAATTTTCATCTGTGGTTTGTGTAGTTTTCTAAGCCAGAACCTGTACAGCTGGTGGTGCAGAGCTCTTCTAGGTGTCACAGGCCTGGCTCAGGGCCTGTCTACCAGGGCTAGAGAGAGAAATGAATAAAGAAATGGGGCTTACTTGTTCACCAGTGGCTGGAGGACCCAGACACTCCCATGAACACCATGGCTGGTCTCCTCCTGTCAGAGAAGCGGAAGGAAGTAGCAGGACGGAGCACAGCAACCCTGAGAGCAAAAGTGACTGCTACCTAGGAGCTCAGCAAGAACTGCAGGAGCCACGTTAGCTGCTCAGAGTGGCGCCCACGGAGCACCCATGCAGCAGAGCACAAGGCTGCTTGAACTTGGTCCCTTTTCTTTTTTTTCCCCCCCTTTTTTTTTTTGAGACAGGGTCTCATTGTGTAGCCTTGGCTGGCCTGGAACCTGCTCTGTAGACTAGGCTAACCTCAGACTCACAGAGCTCTGCCTCTGCCTCCCAAGTGTTGGGATTAAGGTATATAAGTATATAAAATATGTATAAAAATCAAACATTTAGTTCGAGGCCAGCCTGGTCTACATAGTGAGTTTCAGGCCAGCTGGGGCTACAAGGAGACCCTGTCTCAAAAAAAACAACAAAAAAGCAAACATTTAGTGATAATAAGTCATGAATTTATTTTCTAACAGTTCTTGGCTGGTGAGATGGCACAGTGGGTAAAGGTGCTTGCTTGCCAAGCCTGCTGGCTTGAGTTTAGTCCCCAGAACTCAAACTGGGGAAGGAGAGGTGATTTTGGCAAGTTGTCCTTTGTGTATGCCATGGTATGTGTGTGCACCCCCAAAAACCCAATAACTGTACAAGTAAAATTTAAAACAATTCTTTGGCCAGGCGTGGTGGCACACGTCTTTAATGCGAGCACTTGGGAGGCAGAGGCAGGCGGATCTCTGAGTTCAAGGCCAGCATGGTCTACATAGTGAGTTCCAGGACAGCTGGGGCTACAGGGAGACCCTGTCTCAAAAAGACAAACAAACAAACAAACAAACAAAAACCATTCTTTGGTATACATATAACTTTGCCATTTACTAACAATGAAGCTGGGCATGGTAGGATATGCCTTTAATCTCAGTACTTGGGAGGTAGAAGCAGTTGGATCTACTCGATGAGTTCAAGGCCAGCCTGGTTTACGTAGTGAGTTCTAGGCCAACCAGGGATTCGTAGTGAGCCCTTGTCTCAAAAAACAAACAGAACAAGGGCGATGACTTGGGGGTTAAGAGTGCTTACTGCTCTTCTAAGACATTCTGGGTGTGATTCCAGCACCCACATGGTGGCTAACAACCATCTGTAACTCCAGTTCCAGGGGATCTGCTGCCCTTTTGTGGCACTTACATACATGCAAGCAAAAGAATCCTATATGTGAAATAAAACTAAGGTGTTAAAATCCCACAAAACAATGAAAACAAATCTCCGTGTGTGTGTGTGTGTGTGTGTGTGTGTGTGTGTGTGTGTGTAATTTATATAAACTAATGAGATGGATGTGCTTACTTATTTTTGCATAAATAATTAAATCTTGACTGACTTTTTTTTTTTTTTTTGTCTTTTTGAGACAGGGTCTCCCTGTAGCCCCAGCTGTCTTGGAACTCACTATGTAGACCAGGCTGGCCTCAAACTCACAAATATCCACCTGCCTCTGCCTCCCAAGTGCTGCTGGGATTAAAGGTGTGTGCCACCGCACCCAGCTTGACTGACTTTTTGATACTGCAGAATGTAAAGCATCTTCAAGGTTTTTTAGAGTTTATTGACACTTTGAGTCTACAATTTCCAGTGATGAGGAGACTGCAGTACAGAATGAGAGCACATTCAGAGCCATTTCAGAAACTGCTCAAATCGTGTCCTAATCCCAAGCAAGAATTCTTTGAGCAATTTTTAAACTTTCTTATTTTTTAACCTTTTAAAAAATTATTTTTGGCCGGGTGTGGTGGCGCACGCCTTTAGTCCCAGCACTTGGGAGGCAAAGGCAGGCAGATCTTTGTGAGTTCGAGGCCAGCCTGGTCTACATAGTGAGTTCAGGTCAGCTGGGGCTACAGGGAGACCCTGTCTCAAAAGGACAAAAAATTTTTTTTTTTATTTTATGTGTATGAGTGTATTGCCTACATGTATATAAGTGCACCCGTGTCACACAATTCCTCTGGCGGACAGAAGAGGTGTCAGATCCTCTGGAACTGGAGTTATGGATGGTTGTTAGCTGCCATGTGGGTGCTGGGATTTGAACCTGGTTTCTCTGCAAGAGCAGCCAGTGCTCTTTTTTTTCTCTTTTTGTGATGGGGTCTCCCTGTAGCCCCAGCTGGCCTAGAACTGACTGTGTAGACCAGGCTGGCCTGGAACTCACAGATCCGCCTGAAAGCAGCCAGTGCTCTTAACTGCTGAGCCATCTCTCCAGCCCCACAATTTTTAAACTTAAAAAAAATTACATTTTATTTGTGTCGTATGTGCATATATATGGGAACACATGTGGTAGTCAGAGGAAACCTGTGGAGTCAGTTCTGTCCTTCTGCTGTGTGGATTCTGGGGCTCACACAGGGTCATGGGGGCAGTTGGCTTTACCATTTGAGCCATCTCGCCAGCCCAGAAGTTTAAAAAAACTTTTTTACAAAACCCAAGTCAAATAGCAATTTAAAATTTTTATTTATTTATTTTTAGTTTATGTGTATGAGTGCTTTGCTTGCATATATGTAGGTGTACCACATGCATGCAGTGCCCATAGAGGCCAAAAGAGAGTGTTGGATACTTCTAGAACTGGATGTTACAATGAAACTGACATGTGATGCTGGAACCAAATCTGGGTCCTTTGCAGCAGCAGCCAGTGTTTAGCCACCGAAGCAGCTCTCCTGCCTGTCAAACTGCAGTTTCTAAGCTCCAACACTCTAACACAGTACAACCTAAAGATACACAGAAATACTTACATATGGAGAGTGTTGGTGGGAGGTATTAAGCCCTTTCTCCACACTTAGACCATCACATGTATCTAAGAACAGAACTTTGTATGTTCCGTAAAGACACCGCTATTAGTGATGGACAGTGCTCTTAAATCTGAGCCAAGGGGTTTCGGACAGTGCTTGTTGTGCATGGAAGGACCAAATGTGTAGTGCAAAGTACACGTGTGTTCAGAACCAAGGCTGCAGAGAAGTCCCACCATGCATCACCAGGAGCACCTTGGGTTCTTTCTACATTTGATTTTGAATTACTTTTTGGTCATTGCATGTTCAGGAACCTCTTACTATTGCCAAATTTTTTGTGACCCACAATTTAAAAATCTGAGCCTTCGAGACCCACACCTGTCTTGTTACTCAGGAGCCAAGCTTCCACGAGAGAACATTTGAGGGCTACACCCTGTCCAGACCAAAGCTCACATCCCTAGTGGCAATGCCACTGAAGCCTCACTGCTCCCTGTGTGGACGCTTCCACCACAGGTACAGGAGATCACTCAGCCCGTGTAGGGCACATGGGGTCTGTTGTATCTAGTGTACTCATCCCCAGTTTCCTTGAAACCCCTGTGTGCGTGCACACACACAAACACATGCCTCCACCCTTGACTCACTGATATGTGGTAGTCTGGGTGGGGCCAGCTGTCCTCCATCCACCCGGACCCTCTTGTTCCAGGAGCTGCTGCAGGAGTTTGAATCTGAAATGCAGAGGAGGGAGCATGAGTTCCAGCTGAAGGCTGATGACATGGGCAACATGGTCTTGTCCCACGAGCTCAAGGTAACTGTCCCTGGCTTTTGAAGGCTTTTCTTCAGCAGTGAATGGTGAGGCCACGTCTGAACTGAGAATTAGACGCAAAGGGGTGTGAGACGAGGCTTTGGCTGCATGGGGCTAGGGTAGGGCCGGCTTTGGTGAGGTGCAGGGGAGGTTCTACCAGGGCCACCTCACAGCCCCTCTCCTCAGTCGGAAGAGCACAGCTCCCCCAGCTCCCAGTCAAACTTCTGTGCCTTTGGTCAGTGCCCTCCTCTCAGTTTACTCCCAGCTGCTGCAGATCTGCACTACTGACCTCTCTCCGTGAGAGCTTCAGAACAGGCCAGTGAGAGGTGACTCTCCATCTTACAACTGGGAAAGCTTGAGCTCAGGGTTTGTCTGTGAAGCAGAGCTGGGTAGAGTCTTGCTGGAGGGTGCTAGCTGTCTCCGAATGCTCACACTCTAAGTGGCACCCAGCCATGCCACAGCACAAGGAGCATAGGTGCCTCACCTTTAGGACTCAGGGCAAGGTCCAGCCTAAAGGGTCTTTGACCGGGCAGGACTGCCACTGCTTTGAGTGGAGAAGTAGAGTGAAGGGCCCGGTCTGGCCTTTGCCAGTCACTATGGGACAAGTGTCTATGTTGGCACAGGGCCCCAGGCCAAGTTTCCCACCCTCCTCACAGTATAGCAGTTTAAGGTTAGCTCTGGGCCCAGTGGGGAGCCCTAAGGGAAAGGCAGCTGACATGACTAGGGCCCAGGCCAGGAAGCCTTACTGCTACACAAAACAGCAGTCCTCATCCTCATGCCGAGCACTGCCAGCCAAGGCCTTCGTGCACCTGCTGGCCCCAGGGTACCACAGTGGTGTACCAGTCTCATGTCCCCACCCCCTTGCCTCTGCCCCTGGAGACAATGCTGACCCTATCAGCCAGACCCCAGGGCTATCTGGGCTTTAAGGGCAGGGCTCGCACAGGGACCCTCAGAGGCCACCTTAGGAAGTCCAGTACGACAGAGAGGACAAGTACATCTCCTAATACCACAGTGGGACAGACATCCATATCAGAGATGAGGATGCCTAAGGTACCCTCCCCACTGTGTAGTCCCAAAGCCCTCGCACCTGCTTTATCATATAGAGCTTAGAATAAAATGTTTGTCTCCCTGCCTGACCTAGGTGGATCCCCTGGACACACACAACTGATTGGGCAGCCACCCTCACCACATGTTACTGTAGACAAGAAAGCAGGCCTCGGGAGCTTATCTAGAACTTCTAAGCTGGTGCTTGGGTGGGGTCACTATCCATAGCTGCTGTACATATTTATGGAGCACAGTGTGCATTTCAGTATGTGTACACAGCGCCTTGTCAAGGTGGTTGGCATGTTTGTCATCACTTGGTAGCAGAACATTCAAGCACCTTTGTGAACCTTCAATCATTGGCCAACCTTAATCCCCTGTGTTGCAGAGTGCCACACCATTCCACCTACCAGTTATTCTGGAACTTTCCAATCTTTCTCAGGTTAAACTTCTGAACAAAGAGCTGCAGGCTCTGAGAGAAGCCGGCATGCAGGCAGCAGAGAGTCTTCAGAAGGCAGAGAGGAAGCACACGGAGCTAGAGAAGAAGCTGCAGGACACCGCCTGGGAGCTCCGCGACATGGAGGCGGTGAAGGGCGCCCAGTGTGTGGGTTCTCCTCAGGGAGGCATGGTCCCTTATGTAACTGCTCTTCACTGATATAATTTTCCCTTAGGATAAAGGACTTGGAGGATAAGCTTTGCTCCGTGCAGCTGTCTAGGAAAAAAGAGGAGGAGATCTTTAGGAGGAAGTAAGTGCTTCTGCCTGTGTCAGTGCTTCTGGCAGAGGGCCAGACCTGCTGAGCTGCGCTACAGTCCCTGGAGACAAAGCCTGGTGACAGTGGCCTGCCCTGAGATGCCCCTTTAGCTCTATCCTGATGGTACCTCAGAGAGGGTTAGACCTTCAGTGTCTCAAAATTTAAACTGTTTTAAGGACTAGGACTCTGGTTCAGCAGTAGAACGTGGCTTAGAATGCCTGAAACTCTGGGTTTAATCTCCATTACCAAAAAAAGTTTAATTTAAAAACCTCAATTAAGGCAGGCGTGGTGGCTTTAATCCCAGCACTCAGGAGGCAGAGGCAGGTGGATCTCTGTGAGTTCAAGGCCAGCCTGGTCTACATAGTGAGTTCCAGGACAGCTACAGGGAGACCCTGTCTCAAAAAGACCAAAAAAACAAAAAATAAAACAAAAAAAACCCTCAATTAGTTAATTTTTATAGGCCAGTGAGATCGCTCAGTGGATAAAGTCACTTGCTACCAAGCCTGATGACTTAGTTCCATCCCTAGACCTACGTGCTAGAAGAAGAGAACTGACTTCATATGTGTCATACATGTATACACATACATACATGTATACACATAAATACACTAAATAAATAAATGTAAAATAAATACTTTTTAAAAAAATTTTTACAAATCTTTGAGAATTTCATATATGCATATAAGGGTTTTGATCAAATCCATGCCCACTCCCTCCCCTCCAACATGCCCCCCTCAGAAGGGGTAACCCTAAGATCTTTTAAGGATTAGATACAAGCTCCCAAATACTTTTGACATTTTTGGCCTTGGAACAGAGTATGTTGCTAACAGGCCCAAGGACATTCTGACTTTTAGCCAAGAAACTGGCTATATTTCTTTGCGGTCTTTTTACCCTAACTGCCTAGCCAATTCCTACCTCCTGTTCTTATCACACCATCCTCTGAAGGGGTTACCCAAATTGCCAATAGGGAATAGGGACACTGATAGCTCTGGCTTCTTCTATGCTGAACAGGGACTCAGGGTGAGGCAATTGGAGTACCCCTTCGACTCCCAAATTGCATAACCTTGTCTCTAAGGGAAGAAGAAAGTCCTTGAATCATGAATGGGAGGTGTGAAGGGATAAGGATCTGCAGCTGAAAGGCATGCCCTCACAGATGATGCACCACTTTCTTCTGTACCATGCTCTGGGTGCCGAAGACCTCGGATGTATATGTCTAAACAGCCCTGTGTCAATTTACAGGGCCCAGACAGCCTCTTCCCTTGTCCAGATCTTCCAAGGGTGGACTACACAGTTGGAGGACATAGCCTTAGTCTTGGAGATGTCCAAGTGACATATATTTGATGAGGATGGGGATGGGGAGAGCAGAGTACACTGTGTACCCAGGGTCAGTTGTAGACTGGGATGGGACAGTAGTAGAAACAGGACATCTCTCACCAGGGATGGGCAGCCAAGGAGCCAGGTTTTTCCTTGATCTGTTGTGGAATTGACGCTTGGCATCCGTAAACTTTTTTTTTTTTTTTTTAATGTGTATGAGTGTATTGTATTACCTGTGTGTATGTGAGTGCATCCATGTCGTGCAATGCCACAGAGGTCAGAAGAAGGCTTTGGATTCCCCTGGAACTGGAGTTATGGATGGTTCATAGCCTCCATGTGGGTGCTGGGAGTCAAACCCGGGTCCTCTGCAAGAGCAGTCAGTGCTCTTAACCGCTGAGCCATCTCTCCAGCCCCCGGCATATGTAGTCTTTTAAAAAAATATATTTTGCCGGGTGTAGTGGCACATGCCTTTAATCCCAGCACTCGGGAGGCAGAG